GTGAACTCTGGGATGGCATTGTCACGTTGCTGGCAAACTGATCATGGGCGGTCATCTTCGTTTCGGACGATGCAACAGTGGCAGCAGGCTCTGTACACTCTTTTGGCATGGTTGATACCTGATGTGTCTCGGCTACCTGTGTGGACCCGGTCGCGTCCATCAGGTCATTGAGATCCAAAAGAAACAAACCCTTCTCGGTGAGCTGAATGGGTATGGTCTTGGAAATCTTGGTAGCATGAATGACTTGACGACTAGTATCAATCACTGCCCCAATCGCTCTCAAAAGGGTGTTTGACAAAAGGAAAGGAGTAGATCCGGGTACTACGGCCACCTTAAGCAACAATCCATGAATGGGAATCACTAGGGCTTGTTCACTTTGCAAAACCCCTTGGTTACCAAACCGGAAAGTCAACTTACATGGACATCGGCGTACAGTTTGACGTGCTTCAGGACTTAAACCCTTGAGTAGCCCTGGCACAAGCTGACTTCCTATGACTGTTTTAGTGGCACCCAAATCGACTACTCCCAGGCTGTGTGTTGCAAACAATGTCAAATGATCTGCGCTCTCAGTGTCACCAATGCTTCGATCTCTGGGCTCTTGGACGGACATGCGACTCGATCTCAGCTCATTCCTGATGGCGTGAAAACGGTTAGCTCGCATGCATGATTGTTTCCATGAAGACAGTGATCTTTTCAGCCTACCTTTGGAGGATTCATGAAATGTTTCAACATGCGAACACGTAAAGCACATACTATCATGAAATTGAGGCTCATCCACCGTGCTCTCCATTGACGGCACTTGCAGGAACTCTAACGGCAGACTGTCTTGACCACCTTGAACCTGGGCAAAAGACGTTGGAGCTTGAGGTCGGCTGGCACCGGATGCATCAGATCGGTTGGGACATTCGGCACGCCAATGGCCGATCTTTCCGCAAAGCCTACATGCTGAGGTCAAAATCCTCTGCTGCAAAGACTTTCTGTTGGACTGGTGTCCCTTCTGGAACTTTCCCTTGACCCCTTTGTGGGACCCCTTATGTTTCCCTTTTGACAACGGCCAGAAACCCCGGGACTTCACTTTGTCGCTGAGACGTTTTCGAGCCTCGGTATAGGCATTGAATGCCGAGGCAAGATCCTCATCCTGTTGGATGACATCGGCAGCAGCATTTTCGAAGTCCGCAATGAGGATGGCGTCCTCGTCACCTTCTTGGAAAAGGGCCTCAACAAGGTCATCTTCGCACATTTCTTCACTTGTCTCTGCATGCAGTGTGTTCGACATGTCCTCCTGGTCAGGACTGTCGGACATGATCATGGCGGCATCGTACGTTTTCAGTCGATTAGGCTTCTTTCCTGATGTCACCTCTTGGAAAAACCCAGCACCAAGCATACGGATTGCGGCTGACACACGTTTCATGGTGAGCCTACCATCTTCACTGGCTTCACTGTCGATCACAACTCGTTTTTTGTCTTCACCACTGAGGCCTGATCCACGCAAAGTGATGTAAGCTTGCAAATCTTCCAGCTTGATCTCCTTGGTCATGAGCTCTTGCCAGGCTACATCAGCTCTGGCCAGGTAGCTATCATTGGTTTCGTCACTCTTTTGTGACAGGCGATACAAGGCTTTTTCTGCAGCTTCATACTTGCGTTCTAACGGAATCTGACCCCACTGGCCTCCGAGGAGTTCAATCAGGCGTTGAATTGATTTCTTGTCATTGTTGGTCAATTCGGTACTGTGCAATTGCAGCTTCTGAAATGCAGTTCCTGTACATCCCAAAATGAGACGGGTGGCAAGCTCGGTCCACTTACCCTCAGGCCACATGTTCATAAGCAGTTGAACTTTCTTGGTATAGTCTACGATCTCATCCTTCGATGGGTCAAAGGTTGGAACAAGATTGGCCAGCTGGTTCGGAACTAGTGTCGAAGTTCCAGCCCCATCTGAGCCATCACTTGTTTCAGGCATGTCCTCCTCCCCGGATCCTCAGCGTGAGCTCGCTGAGCTCCGCTACCAGTGTGATTGACCACACTGGCAACGGATGTCCTCCACCAAACCGCCAAGCAGCTTCAGGCTGTTTTCCTTCCAGGCCACAAGTCGGGTCACGGCACTGCTCGGAGAGGCACTCCGAAGGCTGCAAGAGTTATCCACTTAAGGATTGGCAGGATGCAAATGCACCTATGAAAGTAGCGGACCCCTGGTCCTAGCAGTTGTGCGGCCACGCGCGATGCCTATGGCTAAAGACACACGAATGCAATGAACCCTCCCTCACCTTACCCTATGGGCACTCCTGAGCCATGCATGTGCTATGGTTGTGAGCTCTGGTTGTTTACCCCTTGATTGGATTGTATGACAAGAAATGCAATGATGTTGAACATTCACAGTATATATGTATGTATGTATATATGTATATATGTATGTATGTATATATGTAAATATGTATATATGTATATATGTATATATGTATATATGTATATGTGTATATATATGTATATATGTATATATGTATATATGTATATATGTATATATGTAAATGTATATCTATACATACATGTATGCATGCATATATGTATATATGTACTCATTTTTTGTATATATGTATATTTGTATAAATGCATATATGGATATATGTATATATGTATATACTATATGTATATATGGATATACGGATATATGGATAAATGTATATATGGGTACATGTACATGTGTATTTATGTATATATATATGTATATTTATATGTGTATATACGTATATATATATATATCAAAGTATACATACATAAATATAAATGTATTTATATATATATATGTATATGTACATGTATTTATATATGTATATCTATTTGTGTACGTATATAAAAGTATACATATATTTGTATATATAAATGTATTTACATGTATCTCTATATATATATATGTGTATTTATATATGTATGTATGTGTAAAACTGTATATATATATATACATATGTATGTATATGTGTATATATATATGTATAGTAGCAGTAGCAGTAGCAGTAGCAGTAGCAGTAGCAGTAGCAGTAGCAGTAGCAGTAGCAGTAGTAGTAGTAGTAGTAGTAGTAGTAGTCGTAGTAGTAGTAGTAGTAGCAGTAGTAGGAGTAGGAGTAGGAGTAGGAGTAGGAGTAGCAGGAGTAGGAGTAGGAGTAGGAGTAAGAGGAGGAGGAGTAGTAGTAGTAGTAGCAGCAGTAGTAGCAGCAGTAGCAGTAGCAGTAGCAGTAGCAGTAGCAGTAGCAGTAGCAGTAGCAATAGCAGTAGCAGTAGCAGTAGCAGCAGCAGCAGGAGGAGGAGGAGTAGTAGTAGTAGTAGTAGTAGGAGTAGGAGTAGGAGTAGGAGTAGGAGTAGGAGTAAGAGTAGGAGTAGCAGGAGTAGGAGTAGGAGTAGGAGTAGGAGTAGGAGTAAGAGGAGGAGGAGGAGTAGTAGTAGTAGTAGCAGCAGCAGTAGCAGTAGCAGTAGCAGTAGCAGTCGTAGCAGTCGTAGTAGTAGTAGCAGTAGAAGTAGAAGTAGAAGTAGTAGTCGTCGTCGTCGTCGTAGTCGTAGGCGTGTAGTAGTAGTAGTAGTAGTAGAAGTAGTAGTAGTAGTAGTAGTAGTAGTAGTAGCAGTAGTAGCAGTAGTAGTAGTAGTAGTAGTGGTAGTAGTGGTAGTAGTGGTAGTAGTGGTGGTAGTAGTAGTAGTAGTAGTGGTAGTCGTAGTCGTAGTAGTAGTAGTAGTAGTAGTAGTAGTAGTAGTGGGAGTAGTAGTAGGAGTAGGAGTAGGCGTAGGAGTAGGAGTAGGAGTAGCAGTAGCAGTAGGAGTAGGAGTGGTAGTGGTAGTGTTAGTGGTAGCGTTAGCAGCAGCAGCAGCAGGAGTATGAGTATGAGTAAGAGTTTGAGTATGAGTGGGAGGAGGAGTAGTAGTAGTAGTAGTAGTAGTAGTAGTAGTAGGAGTAGGAGTAGGAGGAGGAGTAGTAGTAGTAGGAGTAGGAGTAGGATAGGAGTAGGAGTAGGAGTATTAGGAATAGTAGTAGGAGTAGGGGTAGGAGTATTAGGAATAGTACTAATAGTCGTAGTAGCAGTAGCAGGAGGAGGAGGAGGGGGAGGAGGAGGAGGAGTAGTAGTAGTAGTATTAGTAGTAGTACTAGTAGTACTAGTAGTACTAGTAGTACTAGTAGTAGTAGTAGTAGTAGTAGCAGCAGTAGTAGTAGTAGTAGCAGTAGTAGTAGTAGTAGCAGCAGCAACAGCAGCAGCAGCAGCAGGAGTATGAGTATGAGTATGAGTATGTGTATGGGTATGAGTATGAGTATGAGTAAGAGTAGTACGTAGGGCATGGTCTCGGCAAGTGAGAAAATTTGCAAGATTGGGTATCTGTTAGTATCGGTTGGGGTATCGGTGGGAATGGTGCATGGATTGTCGCAAACAATATTCTTGGTGCTCTTTAAGAGGAAAGCTAGCTGAGGTAGCTGTTTACAGCCTTGTTCGTAGTCGTTTCTGTAGAAATAAACATTCTGCTGCAGATTATTGTGGGAACTTGTTGGGATCTAGGGCTATCGGTGCTGGGTCGTCCCCTATCGGTTGTGAAGGTTTTGTGAAGGCAAGCAAAGTTCAAGGCAGCTCTCTACTACTTTCAATTGCTGATAATTTTGTCGGATACTCATATATATATATATATACAAGATTGACAGTGAAAACTGATTACACCAGTCTTTGTTGGCATGATATGAATCATGATGAATCCTTTTTCAACGACCCCAGATGAACATGTGGGGTGCCATTTATCGTTGTTTCCTTTTTCCCCCGTGGTCTTAGGGACCGCCCTTTAAACAAACTTGGCGTCATTCATCCTGTGTCAATATTCGGCAAAATGGTTTGCGACCATTTGTGGTCTAATGTTGTTGTGTTTTCATGTGTTTTCCTTGTCCAAATACGATCTGTACCTTTTGGGGCTGTGGTGGAACATCCGAATTCAGTGGTCAAACTCCAGTCCCATGTTGGAACCAACTCCGCCTGTCGAAGCTCCAGGTGGCACGATACATTCGGCAAGTGCTGTTGGCAGTGAACTATTGTACCTTGCCCTTGACCGCTGGCAACACCCGGAAAAGTGTGGGGTGTCTTCAATAAGCCCGGGGGGGTGATGGTTGAGTATGCAGATGAATTTAGTTGATTTCATTTCCATGCCATTTGAATGATCAATCCTACTCGCCATGTGTTTTGGACCTTGAAAGCTGGTGAAACTGGTACGTGCTCCCCTGGTACAGAGCTATCTCAGGTCATTCGCTGGTGATCCCCGTTGCTTGTCTTGCAGCCGTTGAGTCCAGATGGTTTCCAAGATAGTACAGTCATTTATTTGTTTGTGTATCAATATATATATATAATAAAATAAAATGAAATAATAGAATATATAATATAATATAATGTAATATAATATAATATCATTTCATATCATATTATATAAAATATAATGTAATATAATATATAACAAATAATATATAATATAATATGTAGAATATTTACGAAATAATATATAATATATAATATTTACTAAATAATATATAATATATAATATTTAATATATATAATACATAATATATAAAATATAATATATTTTATATAATATACATAGTATATACTATATAATATATAATATAAAATATATAATATATAATATAATATTATTTTAATATAATATAATATTATTTTAATATAATATAATATATTTTCATATAATATAAAATAATATAATATAATAAACAAATAAATTTAAGATATTTTATAATATATAATATATAATATATAATATATAATATATAATATATACTATATAATATATAATATATAATATATACTATATAATATATAATATATTATATATAATATATAATATATAATATATATAATATTCAATATGTAATATATAATATATAATATATAATAAATAATATATAATAAATAATATATAATATATAATATATAATATATAATAAATAATATATAATAAATAATATATAACATATAATATACAATATATAATATAATATAATTTAATAATATAATATAATATATAATTATACTATAATATAATATAATATAATACAATATAATATAATATAATATAACACAATATAATATAATATAATCTGTCTATGGCTCAACATATTAATTCCACAAATTGGATGTTTCAATACAAAAAATGGCCATATGCCTGGGTCTGTTCGTACCCCAATTTTGATTCACACCCACATTGGGCATGATCATTTTGCCTGATGGGCTTGGACATCACATGAAGTGAGGAATCTTTGGAGACAGATCGCGGCGGATCTAACAGCCGGTTGGTAAAACTTTGCAACTAGGTGAATGAATTGAATTGTTTCTTACATTTCTTACCCTAGAAAATCTACAACCAGAGTCTGAGCCAATGCCTTAGGTGATTCATAGAGATATCAAACCAGCGAACGTCATGAAGTTGGGGACCTCAGCGACGCACCACCGGTTGAGTTTGTGTCAAAATGAGGGAATGCTCAAATGAAGCAGGTGAAGGCCAATGTGCTAGTTGATGTTGTGTATATGTATGCTGTATAGTTGTACAGACATAAGGACTGTATAAACACAGTGGAAATTGCGGCTTTTCAAGTCCCATATCTGGGCATTCACTTCTGAAAGGTTTCGTGTAAACCGCAGCCTTGTGTGGTGGTACAAATAGACCATCAGTGGCGTCCGGGATGTGTTACTTGTGGACCATGGAACAACATTCAGTCCCCAGTGGAGTCTTTTTTGGGGATATCACGACCCCGGAAATCCAAACAGTTTATCACCTTGATAAACCGACTGAATGGTCGCATGGTGAAAGCTTTGGAAACCAAGCAACCAAATGATTTTTTTTTAAACATGTTTTTTATTGTGAACCGTTCCTTAAATGCTTAGTTAGGGTGATTCTGTGGTTACGAATCGGTGCATACATCGTACTGTACTACGTACTAGCACATTTCAGCATATGTGTGATACATACGAAGGCACATGTGTATATGAATATACATGTAACTGTATGTGTATATGTGTATATGTGTATATGTGTATATGTGTACGTGTATATATATATTGATATATATATTCATATGACGAGACATGTACATACATACATACATACATACATTCATATGTGTACGATACATACATACATACATACATATATATATATAATATGTACATACACATTCATGTATATAATGTCATGCAATATCCCAGCCGTAAAGAAGCAACCCAAAGGTCCTCCGCCAGGATCAAGCCGGGCTCTTCGTCAGATGTGAAGCTTATTGACTTTGGCTTGGCTACCTTTAGCAAGGCTTGGGACAAGCAGAAAAAGTGGAAATGGGATGGTTACTGTAGTACTGAAGATAACCAAACCATCAGTGATGAAATCATGGGAATAGACATCACTTGGACATGTGGCCCATATAACTATTGAACATGGTCCATTTATGGATGATTTAGCTATTTCAATGGTGATTTTCCATGGCAAACTGTTGAAGTACCAGAGGGTAGTCTTACTAAAAATAGCCAAACCTTCTCTCTTTTTTTTTTAAAATGGGTCTGGTCTATGGCGATCTTGTTATTTAGCGATTGAACCAACATATACGGGGCATTCAACTATGAGAAAAATCAGAGATTTTGCCACAAAGAAGGACATGTTCCAGAAAAAAAATCCGGGGGATGTAATGGAACAATCTATGGATTTCCTGCTGCGGTCGTGCCAGGAGGGTCAAGGGGCTTCCCGAATCGGAGGAACCCCTGAGTTCATGGCACCTGAAGTGTGGAGTGGCACGTATGGTGCCTTGGCCACCTTGTGGAGGTATGGATGTAAATGACCATGCCTTTTGTGACTGAGATATCCATAATGGTGGGCGGTGTTTGGTTTTAAGCCGTTCAGTGTATCTATTTACCCGTTCGTTCTTGCTGCTGGAATTCTACAAGCAGCTTTGCCGGCGTTTGCAAACGGGCCGCCAGCGCTCTTAGGTCGGCAGTGCGACTGCTGGTCCATTGGCATGATGCTCTACTACCTGCTTGTGTCTATGCTGCATTCATCCTGGTATGCTTCTAAGATCTTGGAGACTTGAGAAAGTCAAAGTGAATCAAGATTCACCACTTGAATCGACACATTCAGCATTCACCAAAAGTATGCATCGCTTTTCGTGGTTGACTCAGATCCCAAAGTCTTGCCATAGGTTTATACTCTATACTATATACATATAAAGAAACACTTGCCAAAGAAGTTGGAGTTTGAGTTCCATCAAATGTCATTGGAACGTCAGCAAAGAGGGACAGCTCAGAGCGTTGTTTGGGAAGGTGGCGCATTTTCCTTTTCAACGCTGCGAGCCGTCCAGATATCCGAGGACGGGGACACTTGCTGCAGGTTACAGCACAAATGGGGCGAACATCAGGTCTATAACTTGGGATATACCGTGGGTGTGATTATTAGAGATTATTAGACACATATTCAGAAATCATGGTTGTGGTTGTGGTTCTGCTTGATGGCTATGATTATGGTTACTAATATTACCCACAACGCTGCGTGTTGCCCAGACATTAACATTGAAGATGTCGTGTTGTCGAATATGCTAGGAGAGATTGCAGAAAAATACTGCATATACGCAGTGTTTTCTGGTTTAGGATTCAAAGTTTTCAGGGTTTGGGTTTTAGGGTTTAGGGTTTAAGGTTTTAGGGTTTTAGTGTTTTAGGGTTAGGGTTTTAGGGTTTAGTGTTTAGGGTTCGTCGCTTGGGAAATCTCAAGACACCGGCCCTATGCAGGTGTTTGAGCATGTTGAAGGATAATGATGCATAAACGCCATTTGAACTTTCCAGGCAACACGCAGCGCCTGGCCGTAATGTTACAATACTAGCAGTGGTTATGGTTACTAATATATTATTACTATCATCATTATCATCATCATCACCACCGCCATCATCATCATCATCATCATCTTCTATTATTATTATTATTGGTTGCTCATGCAAGTCGCAGCATTTTTCAGCTGTTTGGGTGACAGGATGTGGCCAAGCTTCAAGTTGACCTTTCCCAGCAACCAAGGCCGGGCATGACCATCCCCAAAATTTAGTAGGTGGCCCTACATCCGATATATATGTATATTTATGTATTTTGTGTATCATTCTAAAGGCAACATTCCCATATTCAGAAAATCTTCGCATACCATGTTTTCATCGTACTCCAGACCTGGGTTTTGGTATGTTACTTTGATAGGCATTTCAGCTCAATCTGGAGGGAACAGTTGGCCCACGGCGAATCCATTGAATGCCCCTCCACAGCTTTCTATCCCCTATGTCGTTCCAAAGGAGCTGTGGACGTTGAATGAATTGAAGGCTGCTTTGATAAGGAAGTTTCCTCATTTGTCTACAGAAGAAGGACAGGGTTGTCAAAGGTAACGTTTTTAAAGGTTGGCTAAGTAAAAATTAGCAAGTTTCTTCCCCGGGACCTCACCCAAGGTGAACTTGGAAAAATAGAACCCACTGGTGTGCCCCTGGAAGTTTGGGCCGGCTTTGGGATTGGAATTTTGGTTCTGGCCGCGAAATTTCCCTATGTGGTCTCTATACCAGCCACGCATACTCGGAATGATTCTTCGCATTCCACAAATTCTTCGCACTCCACATGGGACATCGCACTCCACAGCTAGGGACGCGCACATACTATAAAATCCACGCACTCTGCAAGATCTTCGCACTCCATAAAATCTTCGTACTCGGTAATTTTTCGTTTTTTTCGTTTTTTTCTTTTTTTTTCGTTTTTTTTTTTTTTTTGGCTAAAATCGCCTGGAATCACGTTTTCTGGAATATGGGGAAGGTAGCGGTTTTTCGTGAGACGTCTGTAGTTGCGCATACTATCGCATTCCAGGCAATTTTGGCCAAAAAAAAAAAAGAAAAAAGAAAAAAAAAGCTCAGCAGGGTGAAATGTGATAATTTTCTGGTATATGATGGAAAAAACTGGTGTTGGATTCATGGGGAAGGTCGAAGGGGGCCACGCATACTGTTTTATTTTTGCATTCCAGAAAATTAGCGCACTCCAGGGGTGGCATCGTACTCTATCGGTGGAATTATTTTGCACGGAAGAAAACAGGATCGTCGATGATTTGTGTTCCCAGATCCTGTTGTGCAGAGCTCTTTGCGGGGCCACAAAGATGTCAAGAAAGATGGGGATGGCGCTGCTGATGAAAGGCCAGCCAAGCGTGCCAGAACATAAGCTTAAAGCTTATGAATTGGGTTTTGGGATCGTGAAAAGTGTAGATGACAAATTTCCATAAGAACATTATTAATCCATTTTTGGAAAGCTCAACATTTTTAATCATGACATTGCCAGAAATTGTTGAAAGTAAGGATCTTCTTTGGGGAAGAACATGTGCAGTCGACAACGTACGTGCCAGAAGAAAAGGAATACTTGGCAAACTGTATGAAATACAAATTTCACCTGAAAGGGGTCTTCGCAATTCCCTGAAATTTCCCAGCTATTTTGGCATGGAATATGTTCGGCCCTGGAATATGGGCAAGAAATTGCTAGAATCATGTCTATTATATATATATTTACATTATATTATCAGTACCATTGTGAGCATTGCTTTTGTTACTACTACTACTACTACTACTACTACTACTACTACTACTACTACTACTACAATACTATTTGTCTTGTTGTATCATTCTTATTATTAGTTTTATGATTATTTTACGCGCATATTCACTAACCATTTGATGATTAGCACGGCCCTGGTGAAGTTATGTCAAGACCTTGGATCTGGGCCCTGAGCTGCCGCACTAGGCTGGGGCTCCCGGAATCTGCGCTCTGCGCGTGACTTGATTAGAGACTTGGCGCGGGAGTTGAGGAAGGACAACTCTCAAGCCAGCCCCAGCAGAGAAACATAAGATTTCTTTGAGATATGCAATATATTGTATATACATAATATATATATATATTAAATTATGTAATGTGTTATTATATATATATATGTATGTGGTTTGTCTAAGAAATGAGAAACAAAAACCCATGGTCAAAAGCATGATGTTCCTCAGTGTTGAATGGAGAAGTTCTGGGTCTCCCGGTATCCAACAACTGAACATCCACAACGTCCCAGCAAAATCTCCCAACAACAGGGTTTGTTTCTGCATTCCATCCCCTATTCTGGGAATATGATCCTCAGTTGCTCAAGATTATTTGGGATGGGTACTGTAGCCCTACCACCCATCATATAACTGTGGGTCAATTGAGTTTGCATCATATCTTGCCTCCCCCATTTTTGTGTGGCAGTTGGACAAATGAACTTTATTTGTGGTTCGCCCCCATTTTTTTCATGGTCGACCCCCACTAATTTTAACCAGCTCATTTTTGATGTATCAGTCCCATTTTGGCTGGTCAACCTGCCATTCTTGTTGGTGGGAACCGCATATTCCTGTGTTTTTTCACCACCATTTTTGTTGTCACAAACCACATTTTTGGTAGGTGAACCACCCATTTTGGTCGGTGAAAAAACACTTTTCCGAATGCTTCAGTTACATCCAGCGCCCCTGCCACGAAGGAAAGCTGCTGACCCTGGAGCCGCGCATGCGGCTGAGTGCAGGAGGGGCACTGAAGTCGGAGTTCATCAAGAAATATGGTGCCTTGGTTCTTTCTTATGTCCCGATCTTGGTGAGTTGTGAGCGGATATTGATGACAATTGGTTTTGAACGAGTTTCTCTTCCCTTTTGCGTCCCGTTGGGGGATTTGAATATCACCTGAAATGGTTCCCTATTGCGATTCCAGGGCCTCATCAAACTATGTTTAAAAAGGGCTACGGCTAGGGTACATAGACATGGATGATTTGTATATCGTGCATGTCCACAATGCACATATGCATGTACAGTACAAGGATATATGTAGGATATTCAGTACACATCAGTACACTGTATACTACATCTCACATATCCTATCTGGTTGGTGGTTTGGAACATTTTTTCTTTTCCATTTCATATATGGGATGTCATCCTTCCCATTGACTTTCATATTTTTAAAGATGGTTATTGCACCACCAACCAGCTATACACTTCACATTTAGCTGCACAGGGCCGCCTCCGGTTTTCAAGCCAACCAGGTCGATCCAGCAGCTTCGCCGGTTACGCCAGTGCTGCCATGGGGGAAATGATGAGGTGCCAGTGATATCAGGATCGGTCATTTATCATATGTAATTTTAGGTAGGATACTTATTGGAAATCCAATTCACATCTAAATACATGGGTTTGTGTCTGTGTATATATCTATATGCAGACTCTGCGTGTGTATGTATACATACATATAAACTATAATATATATATATATATCTGTATATATATATGTATCTGTATATACATATATACATGTGTATATATGTATGTATACATATATACGTATATATATATACATATCTGTGCACATAGATAGATAGATGGATGGATGGATGGATGAATGGATGGATGGATGGATGGATGGATATATAGATAGATCAATCGATAGATAGATAGATCGCTCGATAGATAGATAGATAGATAGATAGATAGATAGAAACAATAGATAGAATGGACCTAGTAGATAGAATAGATAGAATAGATAGAATAGATAGATAGAATAGATAGAATAGATAGATAGAATAGATAGATAGAATAGATAGATAGAATAGAACGATAGAATAGATAGATAGAATAGAAAGAATAGTAAGATAGAATAGATAGAATAGATAGAAAGAATAGAATAGATAGAATAGATAGAATAGATACATATAATCGATAGAATAGATAGAATCGATCCATCGATAGATAGATAGATCAATAGATAAGAATATAGAATAGATAGATAGATAGATAGATAGATAGATTAGATAGAGATAGATAGGTAGAAAGATAGAAAGAATAGAATAGAATAGACTAGAATAGAATAGAATAAGATAGACAAGAAAAGAATAGAATAGCACACAGTAATATAGAATAGTTAGTTAGATAGACAGATAGATAGACATACAGACAGACAGACAGACAGACAGATAGATAGATAGATCGAATGGATAGAATAGATAGAATAGATAGAATTGATAGAATAGATAGAATAGATAGAATAGATAGAATAGATCGACCAGATAGAATAGAATAGAATAAGATAGCATAGTAGAATAGAATAGAATACAGTAATATAGGATAGATAGATAGATTAGATTAGATTAGATTAGATTAGATTAGATAGATAGATAGGTAGATAGATAGATAGATAGATTAGATAGATTAGATAGATTAGATAGATTAGATAGATTAGATATATTAGATAGATTAGATAGATTAGATAGATTAGATAGATTAGATATGATCGATATGATCGATATGATCGATATGATCGATATGATAGATATGTTCGATATGATAGATATGATAGATATGGTAGATATGATAGATATGATAGATATGATAGATATGATAGACATGATAGATATGATAGATATGATAGATATTGTAGATAGATCGATAGATAGGATAGATAGATAGATAGATAGATAGATAGATAGATAGATAGATAGATAGATAGATTAGATAGATAGATTAGATAGATAGATATAGATAGATTAGATAGATAGATAGATAGCTAGCTAGCTAGCTAGCTAGCTAGCTAGCTAGCTAGGTAGGTAGGTAGGTAGGTAGGTAGATAGATAGATAGATAGATAGGATATATTGGATAGGATAGGATAGGATAGGAAGATAGATAGATCGATAGATAGATAGATAGATAGAGGTAGATAGATAGGTAGATAGATAGATAGATAGATAGATAGGTAGATAGATACACATGGACCTGGGCGGTTGCAGGCCATTAATATTCCGGGAGCTGACCCATTCGCTGCTTTTCTACATAGCAGTACTTCATGAAGTTACAACATGTAATCCTCAAGTGGAGTATCTGTTCTCAGTGTGAACACATTGGCCTGTGGGATTGTCAGAAAAATTGAAGCTCCAAGATTCCACGGTTGATCATGTTTTATCATCATTGAATTCATTTTCCATATTGATATTGACCATTTTGGAGTATCCCGCAGTTTGAGAACAACCCGAAATGTGTCCTTCAACCGGCCAAAGTGATCCCGCTGTTGCAGCCCCAGCCCCATGGCCGCCAGGGGATATCAGAACTTCAACGCCACGCCGCCACTGGGATCCTAAAAAATGATCCGATGCGAATCTCCTAAGGCTGCGTTCCAGCTGATCTCTCCAAATCCTGGTCAAAATCCAGCTATTACAATCTATTACATAGCTGCAACTCTTTGATCGCAAATCCCAAACCTTGCAGGGTTGAAACTGTCATTGGCTACTCTTTGCGTCAGAGAATAGCCAATAACAACCAGCCAACAAAAAAAGATGGAGGAACGATTTGCTACTCGTTTGGTAGGATTTCACTTTTCTCTCTTTTTGGGGGCTACTACAACCATCATGGAACATTTGCAGAGTCCCGAGCACCCAAGGAAGCTGACGCATGGGCTTCGCACCTTTAGCCAAGTGCCTCGCGTTATGCGGGCCGCTTGGCCGGCACAGAAGGGTAGGTGCTGGGGAGGAAACGCATACCCGGTCATACCCTCTGCAAGGTAATCAGACAACTGGGTTTTTCTGACAGGGTAATTGTTCCAAATCAAGTGGTTTATCATAGACTTCTCCATCCAAAATAAGATGTTTGGCAGACACAAATTGTGGTTTATCCTCTAATCTAAACAAGGCTGATTCGAAAATCAGTTTTTTAGATGTTTGCTGCTACCAGGATGATCCGAGCTTCATTGATGCAATGTTGCCAGCAGTCACATTGGCAATTTTTGATGCAATCATACCAGTAACACACACATGTATATATATATAATATACTGTACAATGTATATTTTAGATTATATATATATATACATTATAATGTCTGTAATGTAGTGCAATGTGATGTACTGTGAAGTAATGCAATGCAATGTAATGTAATGTATTGTATTGTATTGTAGTGCAATGTTATGTAATATAATGTATTGTAATGCAATGCAATGTAATTCCTAACAGCAGGGCCTGTTGGGTTTCAATCTCTAGGGCTGGGGCTGGCTCGCGGGGACTTGCAGCCTTCAAAATCCGGAATGAACCCTGGAACCCTGGAACCCTGAAACCTTGGAACCCCGGAACCCTGGAACCCTGGAACCCTGAAACCTTGGAACCCCGGAACTGAAACCCTGGAACCTTCAAACCCTGCGACCGTGGAACCCTGAAACCTTGGAACCTTGGCACCCTGGAACCCTCAAGGATTCTGGAACCCTGCAACCTTGGAACCCTGGAACCTTGGAACCCTGCAACCCTGCACACCTGGCACCCTGCTGGGATCCTGGAACCCTGAAACCCTGGAACCCTTGGAATGCTTGGAACCCTGGAAACCTTGGAACCCTGAAACCGTGGGACCCTGGTACCCTGGAACCTGGAACCCTGAAACCTTGGAACCCCGGAACCCTGGAACCCTGGAACCCCGGAACCCTGGAACCCTGAAACCCTGGAACCTTGGAACCCTGCGACCGCGGAACCCTGAAACCTTGGAACCTTGGCACCCAGGAACCCTCAAGGATTCTGGAACCCTGCTACCTTGGAACCCTGGAACCTTGGAACCCTGCAACCCTGCACACCTGGCACCCTGCTGGGATCCTGGAACCCTGAAACCCTGGAACCCTTGGAACCCTTGGAGCCCTGGAAACCTTGGAACCCTGAAACCGTGGGACCCTGGTACCCTGGAACCTGGGAACCCTTGAAACCCTAAAACTTCCAAACCCTAAACTCTATGCAATAAAGTAAACCCTAAAACTTCCAAACCCTAAACCCTAATGCGCGGTGCGCGCGCTGTGTCCCAGAGAAGTAAACCCTAAAATTTCCAAACCCTAAACCGTCGTGTTATGCAACTTCCAAACCCTAAAGTTTAACCCGCGGTGTGCGCGCTGCATGCAATCAAATAAACCCTAAAACTTCCAAACCCTAAGCCCTAATGCGTGCTGTGCGCGCTGCGTGCCAGAGATAAACCCTAAAACCTTCAAACCCTAAACACTAATGCGCGCTGCGCGCGCTTTGTGCAATAGAAATAACCCCTAAAATCTTCAAACCTGAAACTCTCGTGTCATAGAGGTAAACCCTAAAATTTCCAAACCCTAAACCCTAAACCCTAACGCGCGCTGCGCGCGCTGTGCGCCATAGAAGTACCCCTTAAAATCTCCAAACCCTAAACCATCGTGTCATGGAGGTTAACCCTAAAACTTCGAAACCCTAAAGTTCAACCCACGCTGTGCACGCTGCATGCAATAAAATAAACTATAAAACTTCCAAACCCTAAACCCTAATGCGCGCTGCGCGCACTGCGTGCCACACACATAAACCCAAAAACTTTCAAACTTTAAACCGTAACGCGTACTGCGCGCACAGCCTGCCATAGAGGTAAACGGTTAAACTTTCAAACGCTGCGTGCCATAGAGGCAAAGCCTAAAACTTTCAAACGCTAAACCGTAAAGCAGGCTGCGCGGTGCGCGCGCTGTGTCCCAGAGAAGTAAACCCTAAAATTTCCAAACCCTAAACCATCGTGTTATGCAACTTCCAAACCCTAAAGTTTAACCCGCGGTGTGCGCGCTGCATGCAATCAAATAAACCCTAAAACTTCCAAACCCTAAGCCCTAATGCGTGCTGTGCGCGCTGCGTGCCAGAGATAAACCCTAAAACCTTCAAACCCTAAACACTAATGCGCGCTGCGCGCGCTTTGTGCAATAGAAATAACCCCTAAAATCTTCAAACCTGAAACTCTCGTGTCATAGAGGTAAACCCTAAAATTTCCAAACCCTAAACCCTAAACCCTAACGCGCGCTGCGCGCGCTGTGTGCCATAGAAGTACCCCTTAAAATCTCCAAACCCTAAACCATCGTGTCATGGAGGTTAACCCTAAAACTTCGAAACCCTAAGTTCAACCCACGCTGTGCACGCTGCATGCAATAAAATAAACTATAAAACTTCCAAACCCTAAACCCTAATGCGCGCTGCGCGCACTGCGTGCCACACACATAAACCCAAAAACTTTCAAACTTTAAACCGTAACGCGTACTGCGCGCACAGCCTGCCATAGAGGTAAACGGTTAAACTTTCAAACGCTGTGTGCCATAGAGGCAAAGCCTAAAACTTTCAAACGCTAAACCGTAAAGCAGGCTGCGCGCGCTGCGTGCCGTAGAGTGCTCCTCAAAAGTGATTACATGTCATACTTTAGTGGCATCCTCCAAATTCATTAGTCAGCCTTTGTTAATCCAGGGCCCATTTTACACATGTCATCTTCTTGGTCGTGGCGCCATTTCAGGATCACACTGATGACCTAAGCTTTGGCCTTAACTATTATGCAGGCAAGCGACATCAGCACTCTATGGTATTGGAAGACACAGGGTTTGCCCGTAGACCAACCAAAAAATCGATTTTCCACACTGAACAATTGGATTTAACACATTTAGAATAGGAGCTCCGCCTGATTCAGATTTCATCACTTAAAAGGTACCCATGCCTGACTAGCCTTCATGACTTAAAGCGTAACCACACCCGACTTAAGGGAACCATGCCTGACTAGCCTTCATAATTAAGAGGACTTAACAGAACCCATGCCTGACTAGCCTTCATAATTAAAAGGTACCCATGCCCCTGAATTCAGGGAACCATGCCTGACTAGCCTTCACAATTAAAAGGTACCCACTGGAACCATGCCTGACTAGCCTTAATGACTTAAAAGGTAACTACACCTGACTTAATACCTGATTTACTGGTTTTGCCTGATTTTGGAAAAACGCAGGGCCGGAATTTGCAGGGCGCGGGCCGGAATTTGCCGGGCCCGGGCCGGAATTTGCCGGGCTGGGATTTTGGGGTCGTGCCTAAATAGGATTTTTGCAAAAATCGTGCATGACTGAAGGGAACCATGCCTGACTAAACATCATACCAATCATCCCAAAAGAATCCAATAATTCCAGCAAGTGATGCCTGACCAATCCCTGCGTCATAATAAACCGTCTGCCCCTCCCCACCCAATAATGAACACACGGAATAGTTTTTTGTATTTAGTGGGTATTTAGTATGAGGGTGCGAAACTTCCCCCTTGGTTAAAAAAACTAAATTGGAAAACATTTTTTAAATAACATCTAACTAAAATATTGCCAAAATTGGATTCCGAAGCTTCCCCCTGACATTAAATTGAAAACATTCGTTTAAAAAAATGAACTTTATATTTCAAAACCGATTGAATTCCTATTCAAAATCTAACTCAAATCTTGCCAAATTGGATTTCGAAGTTTCCCCTTATATTAAATTGAAAACCTTACTAATCCCCACCTCCTTTTACTAAACGTACCCTAAATACTAAAATATTACATTGATTCCTTTTACTAGGGTCCGCGTTAAATTTTGGGAAATTTCAGGCTGGCCAGTTTGACTTTTAATTGATACCTTTTCAAAAACAAATTAAACATGAAGGTCCCATTTCAGGATTTCACCACCAAAGAATAAAAACTAGTCAGCCCTGGTGATTTTTTAAACTAGGGTCTTTTAAGGTCGAAAAAATAAGTATTTTATATTACAACGTTTATATAATATTGGGGGAAAACTTCGAAATCCACTTTTTGGCATTTCCTGGCAATATTTTTGCTGGATGTCAAAAGGAAATCTAATCGATTCTTGAAATCGAAAAAACATAGTTTTTTTTTTTATTAGTGTTTTTTAATTTAATCTTAGGGGAAAACTTCGAAATCCA